TATGCTGACCTTCAACAGTACCACAGTTTCTTAATAAAACGCTAACTTTTAAAGTTGTTATGAGGTCCCAGCTGGACTTGCTTTCTCAGCATGCTTTTGGAAGACTCTGCAAGATTGTGACTGGCTCAAATACATAGCTTAGAGATATACCAGTCTACTGTTAAATGTCAGATTGCCTAAGGATAAATTTAAGAAACAATGCTTATTGTACTATAGCACTGTTTTTTGGGGTTTTTTTTTGTCATTACTGTTGTGTTTACGCAGCAGTATAACCTGCAATATCAATAATATAAAGGACCAAAGTTATGTTCTATTTGTTGTATTAGCACACTTGCAGATTGAAGTTTCTGACTATGACTGGAAAGCAGATGTGCTCCCCAGCTTGGCAAGTAGAATAGGGCTACCAACAGCACTAATACTGTGCCTGAAAGATAGCTTAGGAAGTAGTAAAGATGAAATGGTACACTAGATGTACTGCAAATGTTTGAGCAGACTGGAAAAAAACAGTAGTTCTTATTCTTAATAGCAACAGCTTAACTTCTGTTGAAATGATGCCATGTTAACTCTCACATCTCCTTAAGAAGTTGTATTACTTAAGTACTGCTGATGCTTTAAGTACTAAGTTCACTTCTGGGACAGCTCTTGTAACTTTTTACGCTTTGTCTCCACAGGAATCTACAGATGTAAAAGATGAACTGTAAGCTGTGCTCACCTACCATCCTGCATTGGGGGGGTTAGGACGGAATGTGAATTAGACTGTTTTTTGGTTTTTTCCACTGTAAAATGTTGAGGGATGGTATTGGGGTTTAAGGGTAAAGGATGATTTTTTTTTTTAAGTTCACTTTTCTAAAAACATTCCTCATGAATGTAAATTTGTATTATTTAACTGACTTGGTGTAAAATCTTGTCATGTACAAAATAAAATGTTTCCAAACACCACTAACTCTAAATTTATACACACTAAGCTCATCTTGTAGGCTAGCACAAAGAAACAAAGGGGTTGTCTTGGGTGTTCAGGTCCTTTGTACAGCAGGCACTTTGCAGTACTTGTCCCTTTCCACAGTGGCCCAGCCACACTCAACTGTGTAGCATTTGCCCGTGCTTGCGTTTTATGTTAACAAACTTGCTGTGCAGCCAAACTCTGCCTGCTATCTCAGAGCTGTACTGAACTTGCTAGTTGAAGTAAGTTGAAAGCACTTGTGTCTACTGCCAGCTTAAGAAAGATGAGATGGGGCATATAAAAATGGCATTGGAACTGAAGTCCTGGCAGCTTGCACTGGACTCCATGTGACTTGATTCCACTGTGGACCATAGGCTGTGGTAGCTTCTACATTTCACAAAAACCCTTTCACTAAATTTGTGAACAACCACCCCCTGCAGTGGCTTACTGACTGGGTTCATACCATCCTCCATGGTATTTGGTAACCCTGCCTTTGACAGCAGTCTTGCTTTCTACAGTTGTGGGGGTTCAGGGTTTTTCTTAAAGGTGGAAGCACTGGTCTCTTGTCGTTACTCCTTAATGCTGCTGTTCTTGAATTTTCACTGTTGTTCTGTGTCACTTTAGTAGGGCAAAGCACTGTAGAAACTCAAGGTAACTGACACCAAATTGTAATGTAGATAGTTTGAACTGGAGGTACCACTTCTATTCATTATATTATGCGGTGCTTGGATGAAGCACTGGATTTTCTCACTAGTGCCTCTTCAGAGGGTGGTGGGAAGTGTTTTACATGGACATTTGGGAGTTTTTTTGCCTTCTGTGAAAGAAGTACATAGAATCACTGTATAGCAGTGCTATTCTTACTTCATATTCCTACTTCAGAACCGCTTCTGTTTTGTTGACGGAACTTCTGTGAAGTTCTGCAATCTGAAGCAAAATAAATTTTCTAAGTAGTGAGGGCAGTAAACGCTGACCCGAAGAACTTCCTTTCCACTTAGTTTTCCTAGGCTGCTTTTATATTGCCCAAATACTGTTACCATGCAATAAATACAGATGCCCTGTATTGGTGTGGTTATTGTGTTAAGAGTTACTGTGATTTGAGACTTCGAGGACTGGGAGCTTAGTTTTGTTTTTTTGAGGGAGTTTAGGATTGTTTGGGTTTTTGCTCACTGTAGTAGTATCTTAGATGCACCCTAAGATCAGAACGTGCTCAGTGGTGCAACTGTGGTGCATAGTGCTAGCTGCTGAACTATCGGCTTTAGTAGCAGTCCTTTGTTAGTAAGTTACTGACAACAGGGCAGGTGCATGGTTTCCTCTTAAGGCATGGTCCTCTGCCTATGGCAGTGCAATTTTTGTGCTCTGTAGCAATCAACTGCTGCTGAGGTTTTGATTTGATTCCTAAAATAGAACTTCTAATAATCGTAGCTTGAGCCCTACTGTATGGTTAAGAGTGCTTCTGCAGCCAAACAAACCTATGAGTATTTGAAGTTTAGAGTTGCTTGCTACAGTTAGTGTTCTTAATCTGTTAATTACATGTAGACTTAAGCAACCTTTGCTTTGAGGCGCAGCTGAAGTTCTCAGTGCCTTGATTTTGTTTAGAATGACATCTAATTCAAATTCAGAAATAATGAAGATCATACTTGAGTCATGCTTTGTGCTTTTTCATTTTACTCAGCTGAGGATATCATGTGCAACATCACTGTGTTCCAGCTGCTTTCTCTACCCTGGAGTGACAAGTGTTTGCTATTAATAAGCATAAAACGTGGTTGTAAGCTTGCCCTCTTTTTTTTTGGGGGGGGTGGGCAGCTCTGAAGCAGAATAGCATCAATGCTGGCAGAAGTGTCTCCAAGTCATACTGAGGCTATTTCAGTGCTGCAGTCACGCCAATTCTGGGGGTGTCACCTCTGCTGTTAAAACCTGGTGTATTGTCAGCTTTGCTGTTCATAGATGGGCACAAATGAGAATGGTTCCTTCCGTGCTAGAAAAGGCCAGGGTAAAACAGATGATCCCTGTTGCTCAGTTTCCATTAGCAGCAGGATAAACTCACAAATCGAAGCCAAATTAGTAGTAACTTCCCTCTGCAGCATTTAGATCTGAAAAACCTTCAGAAAATAGGGAGAAATGCATCTTCTGTGTCAGAAGTCGGCAATATAACGATAGAGGTGATACTCTGACAAAGTGTAAGAGGGTGAGGTTTGGTGAGTCCCAGATCTTTAAACGGATAATTGAAAAACTGCTGTTCCTGCCCTAGTTAGAACAGGAACGAAATACTGCTGAGCTGCCACATCTTCACTCTTCAATAAACGTCACCTTATGCTGAAGTGCAAGGTTGTCAATCTCAGATTTGTTTAAGTACAGTGAAGGAAAAATTAGCTTCACCTAGAACTGGGTGTAGTAAGGAGTTCTCATTGATTGATTTCATTTGGTCTTGACATCTGAGATTTACTTCAGGCCTTTTATGCTACTGTCACGATAAAGGTGCCTGAAATAGAGAGATGGTTATCTAGTAATACTAATTACAGGCTGGAGCCTGAACATCCACATGGGCACATAGGAGCAGGAGAGGATCTTGCCCTGCCTCCCCTGCCTTCCTAGCTCAGCCAATAGTTGCAAAACTGAGAGCAAAGGCACCTGCACATGCAGGGGAACGATAAACCTTTCATCCTAGGAAAACCAATTCCAGTGTATGTAAAGATACATAAAATAACAGCTTCACAGCTAGAACAGATGTAAAAGTAGCACTTTCACTGGTCATTTCTGGATCCCTCTGCTGTTACAAGAGCTCCAGGTACCTTGCTAGTAGGGATTAGGGAGCTTTTTTGTTTCCTGAATGGATCATCTGCCAGAGCATGGTTTTCTTTCCCCAAGTTAAACCCAAGTGAGAATTGAGGACACCACCTTTGCCTTGTCTGGGTACCATTCTCAAGGGAAAGCAATCCCCAACCCTCTCAAGCTCTACTGTATGCCGTTCAAAAATGGGTTGTCTTACCATCTTTGTAGGATGCTGACTTTGTGTATCTTCTCAAATCCCCGGTGCTAGAGTTTTGTGGCAATCCTATTTCAGGACTGAAAGGTAAACCTGCACCTGTTATTTCAGAGTTTTGTATATATACAGCTATTAAAATCAGCTGTAAACAGAAGATGCCCAAATGGAGTACAAACGTACGTGATTTCAGTGTAATCTCTACCTATTTGTCCCACTTTAACTAATATAACCAAGTTGTAAGATTGTGGGAATACAAGGGAAGATTGGTGAGGAGGAATATAAACACGCTCAAGTTACTTGCCACTGGGGTGCCGAAAAACACATATATCACAGTAATTGTTGTTTAGCTCTGTGTGCTTGATGGATAGAATGTCTGCATTTAGGTAACAGGCGTGTGAGAAACTCAGGTCACCTTATCCAAACACCCTTGAGAGTCCTGCCCTGCTGTGGCAAAGATCAAAGCACAGTGGAAAAAAGACGCCTGCAAAAATCCCAGATACGGCAAAAGCAGCAAGCCTGAGACCTTTTTTTCTTTCTCTGCCTCTTTCTGGCTAGCAAGGACCAAGGTCCGAGGTGCCTGCGTCCCCACCGGGTGTTGCTGTGGAGATCTTCGAGGTCATAAAGTAACAGGAATAAATTTACTCTTTCCATTTCATCCGTGGATTTGTGGTTGTTCCTGGGTCCTGCCTGTGCCAGCTCTCACAAAGCTCCACCCCGGCCTTACAGTGGACCAAAGTAGATCTCCTGTTAGTAACACAGACAGAAAGCCAACCTCACTGCTGCTACAGCAGCCAGCCAGCACTAGGAGTCCAGTGCAAGAAGCGCTGCAGTAGGGAAATCTTTACTGCTTGTACATGCCACCACTTACTGTACCAGGTTCTGGGTTACGTCGAGTAAAACTGAGCTAAAGATTAAAAAGGGGGGAAACGCCAACAGGTAAGTGGGATTCTACTACAGATGAGCAGGTAAGCTTATTAAGGCTAATGAGTGGCCACCAGTAGCTTGACTTTCCAACATGCTACACTTCCTGTACTTGTTCACCAGCTTAAAAGTTTCAAATTCCATCAGACTCACCAATGTGAGTTTACATCTTTTATTCTGAATGATACTTACACTGCAATCAAGGTTAAGAAATCATAAGAAATCTGGCACATAACTGATTGTATTTAACAGTATTCATTGCACATTTATTTTTCATATTGACAGTAACTCTGCTTAAAGAAAACAAAAAGTGGCATTAAGGGAGTACAGTATTTCACATGGATTCCTGCAAATCGAGACAACTGAACAAATGTTTTATCAGTTCCAGTTTTCACAACGGAAGTTCCAGTCACTGTTGTGAAGTCTGAACTTTGCTTGACCGTGCTTTTAGACCCAACAGTTCTGTTCTAAGTTCTCCAGGCTTAGGAGGTATTTCAGGTATACTCTGTCAAAAACAGAAAGACATCAGTGTTGTGGCAGAAGAAAAACTAAACTCACAAAACAGTAAGTTAGCATACTCTGTAAGAGACAGCATTATAGCTAAATTGTGACTATACCACCATCTTTGTTGAGCAGAGTAGAATTCTTACATGCAAAACATCTTAAAAATTAACCTATTACCTTTTTGTAATTTGACTCTTACTTTAAAAGTAGCAAAACACGATTTGTAAAAAAGAGGAAAAAGGAAGAACAGACTGTTTAAATGAACAAAGCTTCTTTTTGCTATTTAAGAAAGTAAGTTTGGTCGAGATATCTAGTACAGTTGAAGTTCCCAGACATATTCCTTCTCTTGGTGACAGAAAAAAAAAGTTTCACTGCTTTGACCTTTCTGTTTTAGAAATCAGGCACTGAAACTAGAGATTAAATTTTAAGAGACCAGATGACATTTCAAGAACCATACCTCCTCAAAATTTGTGCTAATTTAGAGAGGTGTAGATCATCAGATCATTCTGAATAAATATGCCTATTTGCCTGTAACGAAGGCTCCAGTAGAGACTATTAAAATACATAAACTCTTATGCATCTATCAGTGATTTAAGCCTCATTGCTTAAATTCTGATATCACAACTCAAGCATGGTGATTTTTTAACTTATTTCTGATTTGAAAATAGCATGGCGTTTTTTAAAACCCAAAAGGCATACAAGAGCAGAAGGATGAAATGAGGCTTACAAGGCCTCCAAGAGATCAAACGAACCATTAATATCGCAGGTGGGTGGTCTCATTTGGAGCTTGGTTCTCCGTGACAGCAATTCTGAGTCTTGCCTCTCAGTCTGTCACTGTTTCTAACGTAAACTTTTGGTCATCTTCATTTCCGTTAGTGGGGCAAAAAAAAAGCCTACTTAAATCTAGTACAGCCCCTGCTTGTCACTTTTGCACGCTCTTTTTGGAAGCCAACTTCCCACAGCAGCAACCCCCTTCTGAGGCAGCCCGCGTGGCTCTCCAGCGTTCGGTCCCACGTCACCGCTTTGAGGGCAGCTCCCGAGAGACCCGCTCGCTCCTTCTTCACAGGCTGACCGTCTCCCGGAGCCAGACCAGAGACCTTTCTACACAAAACCTCTGCAGGACACCCTCCACCCCGCAGACGCGCTCCCGGGCTCCCTAACGCAACCAGCGACCGGATCCGCCCGAGCACTTACAAGGTCAGGCCTGTAGTACCTGTGCACGACCTCAGCGCCGGCGAACATGGCCAGCATGCTGGCCGTCAGCGTCTTCAGATAGGTGGACCAAGGCACGCCGGCGGGCATGGCCGCAGGGGGGGCCACGAATGCCACACCACACCACGCCACGCCACGCCACGCCACGCCGCGCCGCGCCCCCCCTCTCCTCCACACACCCCCCCACTCGCAGCGCCGCCGCCGCCGCCCGGGCGACCTCAAGATGGTGGCGGGGACGCCGAGGCCCCGCCCCCCTCCCTATGTCTCGCCCCCGCCGGCCCGGCCGGCCGGCCGCGCTCTCCCATTGGCCGCTTCCGCTCACGTGACGCGGGGCTGCCCGGCAGGTCGGTCGGTCGGGACGCTGAGGCGCTGGGGGGGGGGGGGGAAGGGACAGCGGGGAGGGGCACAAGGCCGGCGACAAAAGCTCTGTCGGCGCTGGGAGGGTCTGCGCCCGGGCATGGAGGCCGAGGAGTTGGGCAGGTACCGGCGGGGGCTCAGGGCCGCCTTCGGGCCTCGCGTTAGGGAGCGCCGTCGTCCTTCTCCTTCCGCCACCCACACCCCCCCGCCGCGATACCGCGGCCGCGCTGTGGCGAACCCCCCCCCCGGGCACAAAGGAGGAGTGGGCGCGGCGAGACGGGCCGTGGGGCGGCCCTCTGTGCCAGTGGTGGGGGAGCGAGGTGGAGGTGGACGGAGGCGTCGGGCTTGTGGGGGGCGACGGCGTGTTTCTGGATCCGGAGTGGGCGCCGGGGGGAGGTGCCCGCGGTGGGATCGCTTCGTGGGGTTCGCTGGTGATACGGCGGGGAAGTGCGGGCCGTGATGTGGTGGGTAAAGTGGGACTGATGTGTGGGGTGGGGACTGGGGGGAAGGGGGGGGGGGCCAAGTTGGTGCGTGTTCGCGGGCGGGGTGAGCGCGGCCTGCGTGTGCCGGGGGCGGTGGGGTGGTGGGGCTATTGTAGGGCCGGCGAGGCAGCCCTGCGTGGGAGAGACCACGGGAGACCGCTGTGCGCTGGGGTGCGTGGAAGGGGCTGCGGGGGCTACCGCGCGTGGGGACGGGGCTCGCCGTGGGTTAAGAAACACACGCATACATCCCGTGGGGGCCTGGGTGTTTAGAGGCGGATTTGTTAATGGTTTAATATTTGGTTTTGTTCCAGTGGGCGTACTTTTTTCTCTTTTATTTTTATCATGAACTGAAGTGGAGGGGGGGCTAAATCACTACCTTTTCCTCATGGAACTGAAAGTATTTATTTCAGTGTTCTATAATGTATACACCAATAACAAAAAATTCTGTTTCTAAGCCCGTGCAAGAAAAATTACCTAAACTATTTGTATGAAGCTTAGAGGTAGGGACAAAAGCTCCTTCATCTCATTACCGTGTGGTTTGAGCACTTCTCCGTGATATGGTGTGAATTTTCCTCTGTTTAAAGGGAATTTTATTTCTTTTACAAAAAGGAGACTTTGTACATGCATAAAACAGGAAGGCTTGATACATTACAAGAAGACATCTGTTCTTGGGTTAGATGTTTTCACATCTCTTACTCATGATGTTCTGCTCGGTATAATTACGCATTTATTACATTATGAACTGGATTCTACATGTCTAAGTTGTGTTTCCCAATCTGAAGATCAGTTTTGTTTGGTTCAGTAACTGCACAAGTAATTTATACAAAATAGAACTCCTTCAGCAGGGGGTCTTGAGGTATTTACTGTACTCTGAAAAAATCCCATGACTTTGTTAGGCAACTTCCCCAGGAATCTGACAGACCTACGTTCAAATGTATTCTCCATGATTCAGGGCAAGTATTTAGTTCAGAATCAGTGGCCTGGTCACAAGACTATGGGCAGTTCGGGCATAAATCTAATTTACAGAGGGATTCTTAAATACCCTTTGCATAATAGAGGATGGTCCCTTTTGAGATATTTAGAATCATAGGAAAAGATCTTTAAGATCACTGAGTTGAATTGTAAACCCAACACTGCCAATTCCACCGCTAAACCACATCCCCAAGCACCACATCTACATGTCTTAAAATACCTCCAGGGATGGGGACTCAGCCACTTCCCTGGGCAGCCTGTGCCAATGCTTGACAACCTTTTAGGTGAAGAAGTTTTTCCTCATATCCAATCTAAATCTCCCCTGGCACAACTTGAGGCCATTTCCTCTTGTCCTATCACTTGTTACCTGGGAGAGGAGACCGACACACAACTTTGTTGTAGAGAGCGATAAGGTCTCCCCTGAGCTTTCTTTCCTCCAGGCTAATGAACCCCAGTTCCCTCAGCCGCTCCTCACAGGACTTGTGCTCTAGACCCTTCACCAGCTTCCTTGCCCTTCTCTGGTCACGCTCCAGCACCTCAATGTCTTTCTTGCAAAGAGGGGCCCAAAACTGAACACAGGATTCAAGGTGCAGCCTCACCAGTGCCCAGCACAGGGGGACGATCGCTTCCCTGCTCCTGCTGGCTGCACTGTTTCTGATACAAGCCAGGATGCTATTGGTCTTTTTGGCCAAATAGCCAATCTTTGCCTGATTTATAGATATGTAAAAATTATTTGGTGTTTTCATGAATAGCTTCGAGATGATAAAATTATTTCCTGAAAGTTTACTGTTCACAGAATCTTTTCCGTGTATTTGAGTGGCAGTAGAATCTATGGGCAAGAAGGCAGCTGTGTAGGTAGAAGAGAATGGCGGTATGAAGCAGAAGTTTGTGTTGGAGTGTGAGGGATGTATGTGACTAATAAATGTGTGGAGCAAAAGAGCTGTGTATAGAAAAATGTCTTTGTGCATGGAAAGAGGCTGAATGTGTGTGTGTGAACGCTTCCATGTAGAATAAGTGCAATATTCGTGTTGGGATTCAGTGTGCAGTAACTGGACAACATCTGCCACGTGATTCGTGAAAGCTGCTGAATAGCCTGCGTAGTAACTCATGCAGTGTGTATTCCTAGTGCTGTGCAGGCCAGAATGATTCACCCGTTCTGTATCATATCAGATAAAGTAACTGATGTAACATTAAGAAAATTTAAAACTTGGCAAACTTGAAGTCCAAAGAGTTTCAACTTGCTTGTGTTGTAAATTGTTGGTATGTTTGATAGACAGTTTGCCTTGGTAATGTGTGCTACGGAGTGTCCTTTCAGAAAAAAAGGGAAGAGCTCTAGGCTTCCCTAACAAAGTTCTGTTTCTTTCACATTATAGTAATCATGAGAGAGCTGTGCTGTTAATGTTGGGTTTAACATCAGCTGATACTAGCGAAGCAGTCAGACTGCTTAGTGGATTTGGATAATTTACTGCCTTGTTAATAGAGTCATTAGAGAATGTAAGTGCATTACACACCAACCTTGATAAAGATTGATGTTTACAGTCTATTTGGTACATACTAGATTTCTAAACTGTTGATAAATTATATCCTTTTTTTTTGTTTTCTCCCTTTCTAAGATACTACGCGTATCTTCAGCAAGCTCAAGCATTTTACACGTTTCCGTTCCATCAGATGATGACTGCAGCACCCAACGTGGAAATCATGGCTGAGCAGCCGACTCTAGAGGGCATTCCAGAGCCAAACATTGCTCAGGAGCCTCCGAAAGGTAGCTTGACTGGGCTGTGCTAAGTGAGCTAAAACATAAGTAATCGATTGGGGGGAAGAAAATTATTGGTCTTCAGCCGCTTCTTTGGACCTACTGGATTTCTTTGCTTGATGCTCTCTGAGGAAGGATTGATTAATTGTATTCTTTGAGTAATGTTTTTTTACCAGAAAGTTAAAAAAGATAAAAAAGTAAACCCAGGTGATAGTATTCACATTGTTCAATCTCACAAAATCATCTTGTTCTGGGAAAAGTACATTTTTGTTTCAATACATACGTGTATAATTCTTAGCTGATTTCATGGTTTTTAATACTATGTTGGGGAAGTTTTCTTTTTGAAGTGTGAGTTCAAAACTTTTTTTTTTTTTTTTTTTTTTATTTCTGCAAGAGAAGTACGGTATAATACTGTTTATCCAAAATATTTTTGTTTAAATGGTGGTTAGGTGTGTTGTAGTAATCACAGATAGTGATTTGCTTATATACGCTAAGAATTGTTTGGTTTTAGTGAGGCTTATTTAAACAAATACAAACGATGTTGCAAAGTGTCCTGTAGGTGACACGAGTTTTGTACCTCATGCACTTGTATGTTGCCTTTCTTTTCCCCTACTAGGATTTTGTACATTTAGGCTTTACAATAACCGTGCCAAGAAGAGATCATTTGTTCTGTTACTCCACTTGCTCTTTGCCACATAAAAAAAGCAGTGATCTCTGCCACGCTTAAACTCTGATTCTATAGCAAATATTCACACACTAAGTTTCGTCTTGTTTTTAATATTGACAGGTAGGTCAGAGCTCTTTGTACCAAGGTAACCTGTCAGCCAGTTCATGCAATGACATTGCCTGTTTAACTGCATCCTTTGTTAAGCTGTTTTTTTTGTTTGTTTTTTTTTTTTCTTTTTTAGTTGTAATTCATGGCCAGATGAAATCATAGGAGGAAAACCTTCAGTTTAAAATAGTTGCAACTGCTTCATTCATTCCCAGTATTATTCACTACAGTTAGGATGCATCTCAAGTGCGATGTAGTTAGGCTTCTTTTGCAGCTATATTTTTGGATGACATGACCACCAGCATGCTGTTTGCACTTCCAAGTATTTCTGGGCAACTGTAATCTTCCGTTATGAAGCTGTTCCCTAATACGTTTGCAAGAGTTGGAAACCGAGTAAGGCCTTCAAAGGCAGAGCTTGAGGACTTGTCAGATGTGTGTGACACTTACAGGAGCGTGTATGAAAGGCAAAGATTTGGAGTCCAGCTACCTGCTGTGATGAAAAAAGTGAAATTTCTAGGATTATCCTCTGAAAGGCTGCCCTGGCATTGTTCATCTTTCATGACAGTGTCTGGTTGGTAGGTATGTGATCAGCATGAGAGTTAGGAGAACATTATCCTGCTTAATTTGAAATACATCCCACTCAGAGCAGTCAGAGTATCTGACATTTTGTCATCACGTGCAAAACCTCCTAACTCTGTAGGAAAGAAAAGTTGCTTATGTGCCTCACCGAGTCTGCATCTTTCTAGTCTCTTCTTCATTGTAATTAGACCATAGCTTGCGTACTGTTACAGCTTTCATAAGCAGTTGTTCCAATGATGCGCTGGGAATTTCACATGACTTTTGTCCTCCTTTTTGTTTGCACTCAGCTTTCTTACAAGAACGGCCCAAAAAAAAGTTTGCAGACTTAGGT